GGTCAGCTCGCGATTGCTGTCATGGGCCCGAAAAACGACAACTACGTCGGTACCGAGCTCGCCGTCCCCGTCCTGAAGCGCCACCCCAAGGCGCCCAAAGTGGTCCACACGCACGTCCCCGTGATCGTGTACCAGCTGGGCACCAAGGAGGTCGCCTGCACGGAAAAGGTAGCCGTCGCCACCATCGACCCTGCCGACCACGTCTGCTGGATTCGGGCGACCATACACGAGACCGAGGCCATTGCCGCAGTCCCCTCCATGCACCAGGCCTTCGAGGACCAGTTCTCGGGAGGTGCCCCCGTGAACGGTGGTCCACGCGCCAAGGGCCCTTTTCGAGGCGACTCCGCTCCACAGGACAAGGCGCGCCAAAAGCACAAGGAGTCCAAGAAAGACGCTCGCCGCCAGGAGCTCGATAGCCAGCTCCAGGACACCTTCAAGGCCCTCTTCCACGGCAACTTTAAAGCCGTCACCATCCTCGAACCCTGCAAAAGCCTAGGCAGGTTTGGATCGGGCGTCGGAAAGAGGTCCCTGGCTGCCACCTTCGGCGTCAGTCTCCAAGCGGTCGACAAGGTCCTGGCGGGATCAGGGCAACTCGGTGCCACCTACGACCTCAGCAACGTAGGTGCAGACGAGCCCACCGCCGACAAGTATCAGACCGTTTGGTTCCCTGAGGACCAGCCCATCACGATGGCAGACGCGTTCCAGAAGTCGGTGGAGTTCAAGGCCCTGGGAGTCGTCAGGCACGGCAAGTCAGGCCTGCTGGGGATCCGTGTTCCGCGGGGGTCCGACGTCGCCAAGGCCACTGCTGTCAGCATCCGCGGCTGCGAGGCTACCCTCGCCAAGACGCGCTACCGCATCACTGGCATTGCGGCACGCCACGCCACGCTGACCCAGCTCGCCAAGACTCTCACGGGCCCGTCCGTTAAATGGGACTGTGAGGTCTACCACACCGCCTGGGACCCAGCCACTGCGGCCCAGTTTGCCTTAGTGCGCGCTCATCGGCCCCCACTCACCTATACGGTGCAGGTCGCGGGGTGCCCCATCCCGTGGAGCATCACCGAGGCCCCGCTGGCTGAGGTGGCGCCGAAGCGGGACAACGTTACCATCGTCACGCCTACCACCATCACAGAGCCTGTGACGCCGCCAGCCGGTGGTGGCGGCTTTAGCCCCGCCACCGGCACACTCCTCACCAAAGCGGCCCAGAGCCCCTACCTCCACGACCTCATGACTGCCACGCCCAAAGGCAAGGGCGTCGCACCGCTCCTGACCCCCAAGGAGGAGCCTTCAGCCAAGCGCCACCGCTCCTCCAGCGGGAAACGTGACGCCACGCCGCACGCAAGGCCACCCTGCGCCCCAGGCCGCAGCTCCTCTGCGCCCCCGCACGGCACGGACGGAGCCGCTGAACCGACGGCCGCCCCAGGACCAGGTGGCCACGACCCCTGGCTTGGCACGGCGGCGGCAGAAGGTGGGGGCCACACCGAAGGCGACGCTGCCACAGCCGCCGAAGTACCAGGTGACGTCGTCGACGTCGAGATCCTCTCATCAGGTGATGAATACAGCGTGGCCTCCCACGAACTCAACACCTTCGGCGAGCGCTTCGCATCGGCCTCTAAACCGCCCGATGCTGCCACGACCCGCATCCAGCACATGGAACAGCAGCACGAGCTGCTAGCCAACACGGTGGATAACATGCAGGTGCAGCTTGC